AGGGCCTGCTTTAGGAAAGACCTGGAAACCATATCTAGGGATGCTCATTTCCAAAGCCATGACATTCTCTCCCACATGTTGCAAACAGAGATGCAGTTCCCACTGTTTTTTGGGGGCTTATTTTGCAGGTTTAGGAAAAACACCTTTGAACCAAGATCAGAAGGCCTAAAATGTCAGCACCTTAGAAAAGTCATATGATACAGATAGGAAATGAAGGCACACCTTTGAGGCATACCTTTTAGTCCGCTATAAGTCTAAGACACCTCCTAGCTGAGGTATGTATGGGAAAATAGTTATGAATTATAATTACTTTACAACATATCATCAGGTACTTTTGATGTGCATGTGAAGTTCTATACTACTGCAACATGGACACATCCTAAACAAAATTGGACCCTACTCTAAGAAAAAATAGCAGCATGTTAACTATAGACTACTTATATCCTCAAACCTTGCCTATTGAAATAGACAAATCATCATTTTTATTCAGATATATTTTTTAGATATTCTACTACTTGCTACTGCTATTTTTTTGATCTTGTTATACTGCCCAGGCAGACTGATTTTATTATGTTTGCATAAGATTACCTTATACTTGGAATTTTCAAGAAGTTACTGCAATTCCTGGATGCTGACCTACCCAATGTCCTCTGCTTATAAAGAAAAAGAAAAGAAGAGAAAAAGAAAAAAATCTTGAAAAAATACAACTTGCTGTCTACTAAAAAATTGTATTTCCCCTTCTGCGATATATTTCTCTCTGGGAAGCATCTGCCAGCGTACGGATTCCATTTCCTGGCCTGCACCTGCTTGTATTAAAGTGGGTTCATGTGACTTATTCTGCTCAATAGACTATGGGCTGAAGTGTTTCATCACTTTCAGGCTAAGGCAGTTAAGCATCAGATATGCATTCTCCAGCCTGTGGGTTCCCATCCTTCAGCCGAACACAGAGATTTCTAGAGCCCAGGGAAAGGCATAATGCCAAAAGGAAAGAGCTAAGTGCCTGAATTACTATAATAGAGGAATACAGCCCACCTACTAGGAAAATCCACATTACATTACATGAAAAAGAAATACTTTTATTGTATTGCTCTATTGAAATTTGGGGATATGCTTGTTAAAGTAGCTAGTATTATCAAATGAATACACAAGTTGTTCAAAATGTTAGTTCAAAAAGTAAAATCCAGAAAGAATTATTGTATATCTATTATGTAACAGAACTACCAGACTAAAAATGTTATTTCTTTCAATACATGAATATCAAATTTTGCTTTTTTGTAAATGAATTATTCATTTACTAGTTGTGTTTTGAGCACCTATTCTGTACAAGGTTCTGTGCTAGTTGGTGCATATATGTGTAAAATAAAGAATTCAAAGATTTAGTCCTTTTATTTAAGGATGTCAAAGTCTTATGCAAGAATTGTACACTTTATCTTTGCAAAAATTTAGGTGTAAGGCATCACTTCCTCTCACTATTGAAGAATACAGACTGATTTTACTATTTAGATTTCATCAAAACTAATGATAAAGATAAATATGTGTAGGAAAAAAGAAATTATTAAAGATTTGGCATCATCTATGCATTCAAATACTCCAAGTCACAGCTTACCGCCATTGGTGCAAATCATAGTAAGTGAACAATTTTAGTTTGCTATTAAGAGCTCTGCTAGATCTAGAGGCTTCTTTTAAAAAAGAAGTAAAGGTACTTTATGTCTTATTTTGAGAATAATCTGCTTTTGAAATTTTGGACTTTCTTATTGTTCTTGGATGACTTTAATATCATTTTGACATGAAGAGCTGAATAATAACTCCTGGTTTTAGCTCTTCTGAGGGTTGGACTTTGTTCTGGGTAGTTGATGGTAGACAGTATGTCTGACCTATTCTCACCTGAGCTAGTAGAGCTTAGTACTGAAGAACCTACAGACTAGACAGCCAGTCCTGGTGGGCCATGATTGTGTATGAGAATATTTGATTTATTATCTTAGTGTTCATTCCCCTGACATTCACTTCTAACATGTCAGGTTCTACCTGATTCACTATAGAGGCTCTATAAAATGTACTAGTCATGGATTCCATTATTTGAGTTTTAAACTAAAAGAGTTTGTTTGTTTATCTTTTGGATTGTTCTTGAAAAATTTTTTTTCAGAAAGCAGTTTACTCATTTAGAGAAGTTTTTTCTCAAATAACATAAAAATATGTTATACCAAATGTATTCAGGAATAAATTTATTTTTCGTCCATCAGGAACCAAATTAAAACTTATGAAATTGTATGCTAAGTTTAATATGGAGAGGATATGTTTTACATAAAATTTGGCAAGATTACAAGTGATCATCATTTATTTGGATTCAATAAACATCTACTTATATTCGTTTTTATTTATATTTGTATCTTTATCTCATATCCCAGTTCTGGGCACAGAGTAGGGCACACGACAAATTTTGTTGAGTGAATTTTAAAAATGAATGTATTGGCATCTAATATGTGAGGCACTAGGCTAAGTACCACAATCCCTGCTCTCAAAGATATTTCAATATTACTAATATATTTCAATATTTCTGCATATTACTATATATTTTATATAGAGAGAAATACA